ACTTCATTTAAAACCAAAATATTGAAAAAGTTTCCTAAAAATAAATACACAAGTTAGCTGAATCTGTTATCTAGAAAAATTATGGCCCAGATCCTATTCCACCTAATAGATATGGCCAAACATTATGTGCTACATTTCAGGTGACTCCACAAAGGGAGATGCAACTTTTACGTAGAACTGGAAGGGACTTGTAAGATCATCAAGTCCAGTCCCCTGCTATGGGAAGGAAGTTATTGGGCTCAGATGAGCTCAACAAGGTGCCTGTCCAGTCCCATCTTGAACATCTCCAAGGAGGGTGACTGCACCACCTCTGCTGGGAGTGTGTTCCAGATTCTGGTGACCATTTCAGAGAAAAAATTTTACTTATGTCTAGCCTGAATTCATCCTCTATTAGTTTATGCCTGTTGGTCTTCATCCTCCCTTGAGGTCCTTCCTGAAGAGTTGCTTCCCTAGTTCTTGATGCTCACCCCTGATGTACTTGTAGGTGGCTATCAAGTCACCTCTTAGCCTTCTGTTACTTGAACAGACCCAGTTCCTGAAGTCTCTCCTCACAGGACCTGCCCTCCATGCCCTTAGCCTTTGTACCCTCTTGAGCTTATCCACATCCTTCTTGAACTTTGGTGCCCAGAACTGGACACAGTACTCCAGCTGAGGCCTCACCAGTGCTGAAGAGAGAGGGAGAAGCGCTTCTCTGGATTTATTGGCCGCACATCAGCTGATGCGCACCAGAGTTCTATTTGCCCTTCTGGCAACTTCACTGCACTATTGGCTCATATTCATCTTCCAGTTGATCATTCATGTGCTGTGCCAGACCATGGACTACAACCCATTGTCTACTTATTGTGAGGGTTCTTCTTACCCAGGTGAAGGACCTTGCACTTCTCTTTGTTCTGCCCACGAATCCAGGCTGTCAAGGTAGTCCTGAATCTTTGCCCTATCGTCTGGTGTGCCCATGTACATCAAGAGATCCATCCTACTCTGACTTGCAGAGGTGCATAGCTCTTCCATTCTTTTAATCAGCAACCCAGGGTATGCAAGGAATTTCCAACTAGCAGCCAATAGGAAACTCTAGGCACAGAGGTATCTGAATGTAGGGCTCCGTATCAACCCTATTCTACCCTGTGAAATGGTTACCTGAACAACAGAGTGAGGGTCCAACTACCTTTCCCCAAGAACCTTGGTTGGAATTCTTTTCACTTTACAGACCCACATGGTACTTATCCAGCCAGAGAGCAGCATACTGGCCGAATCTTGGAGGACCCTACTCATTTGCTAGTCACAGCTTTTTGCCTGGCTACAATTTCATGGAAGGAACGTTCATACAGAGGAACATGGCCTAGGGCAGGAACATATGGAGATGCATATCTGGCACTTACACCAGTGGGTAACTGCTATTTGAATGTATACAATAAGATTCTGTTCCTTGTGTTTAGGGCAGTTGCTAAGAAGTAGGAGACCTGTGGTTCAGGCCTTCCTCATCCTGTTTTAAATCTGCATCTTCCACTTCCCTGGAAACTGCATTACTTACCAGGTTTTGGTTAGGCAAGACCAGTGGCACCCTGTATCTATCGTGCTGAAGCATGACTATTGTGTGGAAACAAATGCAACAGTCACTGGGCATCAGAAAAAAAAACAAGAAGCAACCCGACTAGAGCCCAGTAAGGCACTCCCCCTAGAAGGGAGGAAGACTCGAGTTCTGGTTCTTGATGCCAATGCTGATTATGCCTTTTATCAAATAACTTCCTTCTTGGAAGTGAGCAACCCAAGAAGAGAACTGATAGTAGACTCCTAAACTGGCACTTGACTGACCCTAGCTAGGAAGCTGCTTAACTTCTATTCTGAAATATGCATCTTTCCACACAAAATACAGCACAGTTTAGCACAAACTCCTAATTAAAGACTTTTAGAAAAAAGAATGTTTATTATAATAAGCATTGCTAAAAAGGAACATTTACCACCATGTATGTAGTATTTCTGTCATAAGTGCAGACTAAGAAATGTTGGCAGAAAATAAAGGCTGCATACACACATTCAAATCATCCAGGACAACTCTCCCAAGTTTGTTTTCCTGAGAGAAAAACTGACCTGTACAGAAGTTCAAACTGAAAAGCAAAGAGCCTGTAGTGTGGATGCTGGCCTGCCATGTATCCCTACAGCGCACAGCCCAGAGTTTGCAGGAGGGGTGAGGGTGTTGTTTTTTTGAGTGAATGTGGGGCTGGGGTCTGTGCCATGCACAGAAAAGTCCTCTATGCAGAAAAGCCCTTTCTCTTCCTCTGTATTGTGTTGGAGGTCAGCTAAGGCTGGGCAAGTTATATGCTTGTATGCTTCCCTGCACCCAAGTACTGCAATGTGATTCAGGCAGGGAACAAGCTAGGAGCAGAACATACTCCCTAACTGCTTCAGTGCTAGGCTTTTCCAGCCTGAAGCACTCAGGAGGGCGTGATATTCCCTGCTTGGCTAAGACTAACACATGCTCTCTCTCCCCACCTGTGGAGGAAAAAGGAAGCAAAACACACTGAGATTGCAGAGATTGGCTCTGCATCCTAATGCCTGTATGGAAGTTCTGTCTCCTAGGATATATTCTCCAGAAAGCAACTTTTCTTGGACTGTTTCCAAGTTATTTTTCTACCAGTGTAGCCACCTTAGGTGTAGACAGGAGTGCAGCTCCTCGTCTAACTCATGGTACTTTACAGAAAGCACCATGAGTTAGACCGATCCCCCCAACCCAATAGCTGTTGGGTCGAGAGGGTGGTGGATCAAGTTCCAATTTGGGACCGATCCAGGGAGAGAGGTGGTCTCTCTGAAGCCTCTTCCCCTAGCTCTTCCCCCAGTCTCCCAGCCTCCTGTGCTGTCCGGGAGAGGGAGGGAGGTCCGCTCTGGGTTTTCTCCAGCCTGTGCTGGAGTGCAAGGGTGAGTAGACTGAAGTGTCCCCCCCCACCTTGTGGGCGTGCTGTAATATACCCATCCTACCCTCCAGTGCTGGCTGGGCAACCCCCAGAACAAGCTCCTTCTGCTCCCTTCTCCCATTCTGAAAACAGCAACGGGAACAGCCATAAGTTAATGAAGATGCTCCACTTTGGAGTGCCTTCATCTGAAACTTCATGTAATGAGGGTTCAGACTGTCACAGGATTAGGCCCTTTTACAGTGCTCTGCAGCCATGCACTTGTGTTAGCAGAGTGCTTTAAGGGGCTTGATCAGGCAAAAATTGTCACTTTTGTCTACACCCTTTTATTCTGGGAGAAAAATTACTAGCTTATGTGTACTCATGTTCTGTGTTTCTCCTGAGACAGCAGGGATACTCTCTGCTGAAACTGAACATCTGTCCATTCCCAAAGTAAACTACCTCATTCCTATTGTGAAAACAAATAATCTGTCAGCAGTCTCTCATCTTTCTATTGTATTTACAATGTTTAGATTTTTTTAATGGGTCTCAATCAGTAAATATTAGAGTCACCCTAGTGGCAGGAAAAATTATGAGATTATGAAATTTATGGGATCTAATCATTTTCTGAAGCCCTTCAGATGGGCTGCAAAACTGAGATATTTACCATCTGCAGTCATAAAAGGTGTGATGGCGAGTTCCTGATACTCAAAAAGTTAAACCTGTCTACTCCAATTCATTATGGCCTTGATCAACCAAAGTGCTGAGTACATTCACTTTCGGTATCATTCCCAGGGACAGAAGGGTGCTTATCACCAGCTAGGACTGAGCCTGCCGGGCCCCAATTCAGCAAAGTATTTAAACATGCACTTAAAGCGAAACCCTCTGGAGAATCAGAACCATTATTCCTCTTAATTGTTGTGAATGCAGCTGCATACAGTATTTTGTCACTCCCTGCCCTGTTATGTAGTGTGGCTGTGTTCTGTTACCTGGCTGTTTCCTCTGCATTTCAATTGTGGATTGTTAGTGTATATCCCTCTGGCAGTAAGAAACTGTCAGATTCCCTTCCTGGTGAAAGGCAATCTAAAAGAGCAAGATACTTTATGTATTGCAGGCGTTATAAAATTATTTTTATTTTGTTCAGATCTGCCATCGTGGCAATCTCATTTCAGAGGAAGCTACTGAATTTGCAGGCTTTCACCACTACTCTAATTTTAATGTAAAAATACGAGCTAAGAAAAAAAGCAGGCTTTATCTTGATTAGACATTTAATATACAGAAACAGAAGGACAGTATCAGCAATATCTAAAATGTTTCATGAACTTACCTAATGTAAGTTTGTGGAACAAACAGCAGCTCACTTCCTGAATTGGTTCACTGTTGGGGAACCTTTTCATTATTTCAACAATGATATTGTAACATCGAACATTTCCAGACATGAGCACTTCAACATTGCTAGCTAAAATAAAAATAACAACAATTTTATGATTAAATTAAAAAATCACATATATGATTTGAATATGCATACGTCTTTAAAAATATAGTTTCTGCTTTTGGCATTGTGAAAAAATTTGAATATTTCTTTTCATCATCATCTTCAACTTTTATCATTATTTGTACTTAGACATGATGTTTCAGGTCAATTTAGACTCCATGTAAATTGTTACTGATTTGCTGCCATTACATGTTTAGCTATTTAACAGATAAAATACCTTCACTTATTACTAAAAAGTAAAGAGTGCTTTACAGATACTAATTACATTTAATTGCACTAGCATGAGTAGATAACATGAACCCATTCACATTTTACAGTTTTTGTGGTGGTATTTTGTAAATTTTTGATATGGTATTTAAGTGATTTAACCAAGACCATAAAACAATTCAATAACAGAATCAGAAAAAAACCCAGACATGCTGTTTCATAAACCCTTGCTGTCTCTCCTACCTCTTCTCTTTCTGTGGCAAGTTATAAAAGCTTACTCTTTTGGCTGGTTCTAGTTTTGGCCTATGACAATTGAGTATATAGTGAGCTTATTTAATATACGAGAAGTTCTTACAGGTTTTCAGCTAAGTGATGCTTCTAACTTTTTAAATGATATCCCTAAATACAAATTTAATTACAAATAATTTTATACTTACATGCACTGCAGGGAGTATGGTAAAAAACAACAATAGCTAATTTAGATTAAAAATGAGCAAGACATACTAAATCATGCTTTAATGATGGTGAAAAAAAATCACTTTGCCTATTCAGTCACAAGTGCATAATGGTAGTTACCAAATAAAACTTGCAGCTTCTTGCTCTGCTGTGTGCAGGCAGAATCAAAGAATCTTAATCTTTGTGATATGTTTAATGTTGGTGTGTAATGAAAGATCTGCCTATGACTTCAAAGATTACAGATGAATTCCTGGTCCTGCTGAACTCAACAGGAGAATCATCATAGACTTCAGTGGAGACAGGATTTTACCATTCAGGTCTATTTTGAGCTTCACTGCAAACTGCTGGGTTACCTTGGTTAACTGACCTCTCCACATTTTGTGTTTCTGATACGTAAAATGAGGATATTACTAAATTTTACAATGTACTTGCAAGCCAGGTTAATTCATTAACCTTTTTAAAACAAATTCTTAAATTACCATATCTTTAAATAACTGTGACAGAACACCCTTTGGGGTGTCTGTCACTTTGAGGGCTGGAGCAGGGAGCTGCCAGGTGGCTAACGAGACTGGCCATTCTGGGAGAGCTCTGTTATAAGAGCAGAGCATTATTGGGATCTATGAGTAACATTGCCTGGTGGAGCTCCTGCTCCAGGAATATCTTGGAGGTAAGGGTGA